AAAAAAAAAAAAAAATTAACTTTTTTTTTGCAGTTTTGGCTGGGGCCTGGCTTGAACCTGCCACTCCCGGTATATGGGGCCAGTGCCCTACTCCTTGAGCCACACGCACCACCCTGTGCAAAGAGATTTTGATAATACAATGGCTGTGCTTTGAATTGTCTATAGTTGAAGTTACTTTACTGTTGAGAGCAGAACATTAGAAAGGTATAAATTGTTTGGGTCTTATTTTCCATAAAATAACTTAGTCACTCTTAGTTGATTTGTGTCCAAAATCAACTAAACACAGTATTCTGAATTCTCAACTTAAAATAAGGTACAGAGCCCATTTTAAAGGAAAAAAAATACTCCCAGAACCTGGGGTTGTCTTGAAGTGTTTTTATTATAGTGTTCCTTAAATACATAAAATTTTTTGTAAACTTTTTATGCCCAAAGCTTTTGTACCATCATGAAATCATAAGTTTTATCAATTAATAGAAAGAAAACTATAAAAGTAATGAAAATAAAATTAATACTAAGTCAGTATGGCAGATGATACTGTTTTATTGAAATAAAAATTGTTGCTCATGGCAATTTAGTAAGTAGCCATGGTGACTTTAGTGTTCTTTCTTTCTAGTTCTCCGTGCCTGTACTATTTACTGTGCCACTTTTCTCTGTTCTAGTGTTTTTCAAAGTATTGTACCCAGTGTACCTGCGTCTTTAATATTACCTGGAAATTTAGAAATGCAAACTCTCAGACCTTATCTCAAACTTACTGGATAAGAAACACGGTTCTGACTTGTTAAACTTGAGAACCATGGGCTGGGCGAGGTGGCTCATGCCTGTAATCCTAGCACTCTGGGAGGCCAAGGCGGGTGGATTGCCTGAGCTCGAGTTTTTTTTTTTTTTGAGACAGAGTTTCACTTTGTCACCCTGAGTAGAGTGTTGTGGCGTCACAGCTCACAGCAACCTCTAACTCCTGGGCTTAGGCAATTATATTCTCTTGCCTCAGCCTCCCAAGTAGCTGGGACTACAGGCACCCACCACAACGCCCAGCTATTTTTTGTTGCTGTTTGGCTGGGACTGGGTTCAAAACCACCACCCTCGGTATATGGGACCGGCTCCCTACCCACTGAGCCACAGGCGCTGCCCTGAGCTCAGGAGTTTGAGACTAGCCTGAGCAAGACCCCGTCTCTACTAAAAATAGAAAAACAAGCCAGGCGTTATGGCCAGCGCTTGTAGTACTAGCTACTTGGGAGGTTGAGGCAAGAGGATTACGTAAGCCCAGGACTTTGAAGTTGCTGTGAGTTATGACGCCATTGTACTCCACCCAGGGCAACAGAGTGAGACTCTGTCTCAAAGAAAAAGCAAGAACAAAACTTGAGAACCAAAAAAAAAAAAAAAAAAACCAAAAAACTTGAGAACCATGGGTATATTCACACAACTGCAAAACCTTTGCTTATGTAGCATGCTATTAATGCTTTTTGTTTTAGGTCTGCCTCTATATTTTCTCATTAATATGTGACAAGTCAGTACTACATGTTTTAACACTATCATTATCACAGACTAAACTTAAGTCTTGAAATCACATGTCGTATACAGTGTTTGGAATTCATACAGGTGAGAATATGCTTGTGATTATTTTTCAATTACCATTCAAGTAAAAATAGAAAGTTAAATAATTTCTCCTAGAGAACTCAAGGATTCTACTAATATTTCAGGAGCCTACTAATATTTCCTACTAATATTTCAGAATATTCCAGTTTTAGAAAACATTAACTTAAATCTTTCCTGTACAGAGAACTCTAGACTTTTATTATTTTTCAAAATAGTTCTGGTTTTGACTGCCATAGTGCTGCTTAGAATGATCATTTTACTATCTTAGGGGTACTTTATGAAATTCACATTCTTCTTGAGACGCTTTTGCCAGTCTCTGGATCCTGAAACCTTTACCCTTTCCATTTGTATTGAGAAGGTAGTGCCATACTTGCCAATGAGAAGTAGTATATGGAGGGATTTTGGGATTTACAATCTAGGGGCCTGGGATCCAGACCTGGCACCATCATTTACCTAGTTCCCTGCCTTGGGCAATTTAACTCCCTTAGCTTCACTTTTCTCGTGTTCAGAACATAGAGAATGCAGCTTATCTGATTGGGTTGTTAGGAAGATTAAGCTTCTTTCTAGATGGCTGAGCACAGTGGAGGCCAAGTCTGGAGGATCAATTAAGCTAAGGAGTTCAAGACTAGCCTGAGCAAGAGTGAGACTCTGTCTCTACTAAAAATGGAAACAATTTCCTGGTAGGCACCTATAGTCCCAGCTACTCAGGGAGCTGAGACAGGAGCATTACTTGAACGCAGGAGTTTGGAGGTTTCTATGAACTAGACTGATGCCACAGCAAAAAAAAAAAAAGAGAGAGATTCTTTCTGAGAAATGCTTTATAATTAGTAAAACATTACGTAGATGTTTTCTTTATTCTCAAAATAAGTTGTCTTAACAACTACTGTGTATGCCTGAATACAAAGCTACCCGAAATATAAGAAAATTTTGATTCCCTGCAAATCTTTTTTTTCCTTAGATATAGAAACCTTTACCCATGTAGATAAAGTAAACATTGTCAGTTGCTATTTGAAAACTGTTAAGATTTTGGTTACATATATGTATTTTAAATTGTACATAGTATGAAATAAATTTACTTAATACTGCTTTTCACCTTCTAACTACTAAGGTGATAAAATGATTTTATTCAATATTTTAATGCATTTTTAACATGAATACTATGTATCTTTGTCACTGTCATTACCGAAGCCACTTTTGTGACTCCTCTAGCAACAGTTTTTCAGAGCATACCATCTTTACTTCCATCTAAATTACTTAAAATACAGAAATATTTCATTTTTTAAGACACAGGGTCTTGCTCTGTCACCCATGTGGAGTGCAGTCATAGCTCACTGCAGTCTTGAATTCCTGAACCCCACGTAACCCTCCTGCCTCAACCTCCATATTAGCTGGGACTACAGGCTGGCACCACCATCCCTGGTTAATTTTTTCTCCTTTTTTGAGATGGGGGTCTTGCTGTATTGCTCAGGCTGGTCTTGAACCCTTGCCTTCAAGTGATCCTCATACCTTGGCCTCCCAAAGTGCTGGAATTACAGTCATAAGCCACCATGCTGGACTAAAATATTTCAATTTTGTATATAATACAGTATATCCTATCAGCCACGGCATTTAGACCAAATCCCTACCTTTTTTGTTTTATGAAGTTTTATTGGAATTTAGGCATATCCAATAGTTGCAAATTATCTATGGCTGCTACTATGGCAAAGTTGAGTACTTACAGACCCCATATGGTTCTCAAAACTGGAAATGTTTACTGTCTGGTCTGTTACAGAAGTTTTCTGACCCCTGCTGTATTTGATACCCTCACTGGGATTTTAATCTCAAATGCAAGACTATACTTAACTGTAGGATTTCTAAGTGCATACTATCCAACACTTGGAATTATGAAGTGTTAAATTGCTTTGTATCTGTCTCTTTTTTTTTAAGAGACACAGTCTCACTTTGTCACCCTTGGTAGAGTGCTATGGCATCACAGCTCACAGCAACCTCCAGCTCTTGGGCTTAGGTGATTCTCTTGCTTCAGCCTCCCAAGTAGCTGGGACTATAGGCACTTGCCACAACACCCGGCTACTTTTTGTTGCAGTTTGGCCGGGGTCAGGTTCGAACCCCCCACCCTTGGTATATGGGGCCAGCGCCTTACTCACTGAGCCATAGGTGCCACACTTAATGTGTATTTTTCATTTAAACAAATTAAAAAACCTAGGACACTATGAAAGAAAAAGTTAATATTAAGCAACAGGAGGTATCTGAGGCCATTGCTATGACTTTGGAGCAATTAGGGTTGTTTTGGGTTTTCTTTAGGTTTTTTGGTGTAAGACTTTCCAAATGAGGGGGGCAATTAGTTTTATGACTAGTATCAGGTAAAGTATAGCAAGGAGAATGCAGGACTGTGAGAGATTAGAAACTGCCTTTAATCAACTGTCAGTTTCCAGAGAATGTACTACATAAACATATGTATTCTGTTCTTGCCTTCGGAGAAGGAAATGTGGAAATACAAATCTTATTCCTGGCTCAGTGCCTATCGCTCAAGCAGCTAAGGTGCCAGCCACATATACCTAAGCTGGTAGGTTCGAATCCAGCCTGGGCCTGCCAAACAACAATGATGGCTGCAACCAGAAAAAATAGCTGGGCATTGTGGTGAGCGCCTGTAGTCCCAGCTACTTGGG